TGGCGTTGCTTGACGGGATCGCTGTCAACAGAGAAAGAGAGAGGCATCCCGTTGGTGGCAAAGGGGCGGCGGGGGGGGGAGCCTTGGCCCCATCCTTATGGCAGGCCTGGCTGTTTTTCCGAAAGGGAGAGGGACGCAGGGAAGCTGGCAGGAAGAAGCCGGGGAAGACAATGGCTGGAAAAAGCCCTCTCTTTGCTGGCAGCGGGTTTGCCTCTGTCCAGCTGCAGGCCGTTTATTGCACCCCCATTGAATGCACCCCACCCTTCTTCCTCTATCTCGGGGATCTGCAGCGTTCCCATTCCATGTCATGTCTGGCCGGCTATCCAGCCAAAAGAACTAGATCATTGCCATTAGGGAAGGAAGGTGTGTAGAAGGGCGTCAGTCTCCCTCTCTCTCTCTATGTCCCTTTGACCCTCTCTCCGTGGGACTAGATGACCTTCTGAACCTTATGTGCCCCTTCTTGGAGAGGGAATAATAACAATAATAATAATAATAATAATAATAATAATAATAATAATAATAATAATAATAATATTGTCATAATAATACATTAATAATAATAATAATAATTAGAAGGAGGAGGTGGAGGATCTCCTTAGTATTGTATTGGGACTGGACTAGATGGCCTTTGGGGGACCTTCTGATCCTAACGAGCCTCTTCTTAAGGAATCATAATGATAATAGGATGAGAAGGATGATCTCTTTAGTATTGTATTCCTGAATGGGACTGGACTAGATGGCCTTTGGGGGGGGGGTCCCTTCTGACTCCTAATGAGCCTATTCTTAAAGAGGGAATAATAATAATGAGGAGGAGGCGGTGGTGGTGGTGGTAGTAGATGATTCCTTTGGTATTGGATTCCTAAATGGACTGGACTAGGTAGTTTTGGGGGTCCCAACCCTAATGGGTCTCTTCTTAGAGAGGGAATAATAATAATTCCCTCCCAGCTCCAGGGTTTTCTAGATTACATCAACTCCCTAGATCAGTCACAGTCTGGTTTCAGGCCTGGTCACGGCACCGAGACAGCCTTGGTGGCCTTGGTGGATGACCTCCGTAGAGAGCTGGACGGGGGGAGTGTGACTGTTGGTTCTCTTGGACATCTCAGTGGCTTTCAATACCATCAATCATGGTATCCTTCTGGGTCTAGACTCTGGGGTGGGTCTCAGGGGCACGGTCTTGTCGTGGCTTCGGTCCTTCCTGGAGGGTCGATCACAGATGGTGAAGCTGGGAGACGCCTGCTCGGACCCCTGGCCTTTGACCTGTGGGGTCCCGCAAGGCTCTATTCTGTCTCCCATGCTCTTTAACATCTACATGAAACCGCTGGGAGAGGTCATCCGGAGTTTTGGAGTTAGGTGCCACCTCTATGCAGATGACACACAACTCTACTACTCTTTTCCACCCGACTCCAAGGAGGCCTCTCGGGTGCTGGACGAGTGCCTGGCCGCTGTGTCTATCTGGATGAGGAGGAACAAGCTGAAGATCAATCCCGACAAGACAGAGGTCCTCCTGGTCAATCGTAGGCCGGATCGGGTATAGGGTGGCAACCTGTGCTGGACGGGGTTGCATTCCCCCTGAAGTCACAGGTCCACAGCTTGGGAGTCCTCTTGGATCCAACGCTTACGCTTGAGGCTCAGGCGTCGGCAGTGTCCGGGAGGGCTTTTGCGCAACTAAGACTCGTGTGCCAGTTGCGATCGTACCTTGCAAAGGTTGATCTGGCCGGGGTGGTCCATGCCTTGGTCACCTCCAAATTGGATTACTGTAATGCGCTCTACGTGGGGCTGCCCTTGAAAACGGCTCGGAAATTCCAACTGGTTCAACGGGCGGCAGCCAGGATGTTAACTGGCGTTCCTTACAGAGAGAGGTCAACCCTCCTGTTTAAGGAGCTCCATTGGCTGCCATTTACCTACCGAGCCCAATTCAAGGTGCAGGTGCTTACCTACAAAGCCCTAAACGGTTTGGGACCTGCCAACCTGCGTGACCGCATCTCCGTTTACGAACCCACGCGCTCACTTCGTTCATCCGGAGAGCCCCTGCTCGCGATCCCACCTGCGTCGCAAGCGCGTTTGGTGGGGACGAGGGACAGGGCCTTTTCTGTGGTTGCCCCCCGACTTTGGAACACCTTCCCCAAAGACATTAGACTTGCACCCACGTTGGCAGTCTTTAGGAAGAACTTGAAGACCTGGCTATTCCGGTGTGCCTTCCCAGAATAGGATAACCCCAGCACTACGTCCCAGAAACACTTATTAGAGTTTAAGACTCTCTGCACATTGCACTTGCCCAGAATCCCAATATATCACCTCTCTCACACAGCACTTTTTTAACCTGTACCCTTCATTGGCCCAGCCCTGGTTTTATTGCGTAATAGTGTAATGTTTTGTTTATGTTATTGCTTATGTTTTTAATTTGCTTTGCATTGTATTGTTATTGTCTGTTGTTGTTGTGTTGAGGCCTTGGCCTTTGTAAGCCACATCGAGTCCTTTGGGAGATGCTAGCGGGGTACAAATAAAGTTTAATAATAAATAATAATAGTAATAATGATAATGATAATAAATAGGAGGAGGAGGATCACTTTGCCATTGTATTCCTGAATGAGACTGGACTAGATGAGCTTTGGGAGTCCCTTCCAACCCTAACAAGAGAATTAATATAATAATAATAATAATAATAGTAATAATAATAGTAATAATAATGGTGATAATGAATAGGAGGAGGAGGAGGAGGATCACTTTGGCATTGTATTCCTGAATGGCACTGGACTAGATGACGTTTGGTAGTCCCTTCCGACCATAACGAGAAAATAGATATAATAATAATAATCGTAATAATAATTGTGATAATAAATAGAACAAGGAGGAGGGTAACTTAGGCATTGTATTTCTGAATGGGACTGGACTAGGTGGCCCTTGGGGGTCCCTTCCAAACCATAGGGGATGATGGGAGCTGCACTCCATACACAAACCTCCCTCCTCAGTCTCAAACATTTTTCAAAAAGCTAAACATCTTTGATGCCCATTGCCATCAAATGACACTAAATTTGCCCATTGGGGTCAAGCAAGAAAGATGAGCATTGGGATCAAAGGGCGAAGGTGCCCATTGGGGTCAAGTGAGCCTAAAGATGCCCATTGGGGTCCAACGTCCAACGATGACCATTGGGATCAAAGAGCTAGGGGTACCCATTGGGGTCAAGTGAGCCTAAAGATGCCCATTGGGGTCCAACATCCAACGATGACCATTGGGATCAAAGAGCTAGGGGTACCCATTGGGGTCAAGTGAGCCTAAAGATGCCCATTGGGGTCCAACATCCAACGATGACCATTGGGATCAAAGAGCTAGGGGTACCCATTGGGGTCAAGTGAGCCTAAAGATGCCCATTGGGGTCCAACATCCAACGATGACCATTGGGATCAAAGAGCTAGGGGTACCCATTGGGGTCAAGTGAGCCTAAAGATGCCCCATTAGGATCAGAAGACCCTAAAAATGCCCATTGGGGTCAAGGGACTAAAGATCTCCAAGGGGCCAAAGATGCTCATTGGGGTCCAGCAACCAAAGATGACCATTGGGGTGAAAGGGCTAGGGGTGCTCAATGAGGTCAAGGGAGTAAAGATCTCCAAGGGGCCAAAGATGCTCATTGGGGTCCAGCAACCAAAGATGACCATTGGGGTCCAGCAACCAAAGATGACCATTGGGATCAAAAGACAAAGGGTGCCCAATGAGGTCAAGGGAGTAAAGATCTCCAAGGGGCCAAAGATGCTCATTGAGGTCCAGCAACCAAAGATGACCATTGGGATCAAAGGACTAGGGGTGCCCATTGGGGTCAAATGAGCCTAAAGATACCCATTGGGGTCCAACAACCAAAAATGACCATTGGGATCAAAGGGTGAAGGGTGCCCATTGGGGTCAAATGAGCCTAAAGATGCCCATTGGGATCAAATGACTTAGGGTGGCCATTGGGATCAGAAGACCCCAGAGATTCCCATTGGGGCCAAGCAATAAAGATGCCCATTGGGATCAGGAGACCCTTAAGATGCCCAATGGGGTCAAGGGACTAAAGATCTCCAAGGGGCCCAAGATGTTCATTGGGGTCAAGCAAGAAAGAGGACCATTGGGATCAGAAGACCCTAAAAATGCCCAATGGGGTCAAGGGACTACAGATATCCAAGGGACCAAAGATGCTCATTGGGGTAAAGCAAGAAAAATGACTATTGGGCTCAAAAGGCTAGGGGTGCCCATTGGGGTCAAGTAAACTTAGCAGTGCCCATTGGGATCAAAGGGCGAAGGGTGCCCATTGGGGTCAAGTGAGCCTGAAGATGTCCATTGGGATCAGACGACCCTAAAGATGCCCAATGGGGTCAAGGGACTAAAGATATCCAAGGGGCCAAAGATGCTCATTGGGGTAAAGCAATAAAGAGGACCATTGGGATCAAAGCACAAAGGATGCCCATTGGGGTCAAGTAAACTAAAGATGACCATTGGGATCATTGGGCGAAGGGTGGCCATTGGGATCAGAAGACCCTAAAGATGCCCATTGGGCTCAAGCAGGGAATATGACCATTGGGATCATAGCGCAAAGGGTAACCATTGGGGTCAAGTGAGCCTAAAGATGCCCATTTGGGTCAAGCAGGGAAGATTACCATTGGGATCAAATGGCTAAGGATGGCCATTGGGATCAGAAGACCCCCAAAGATGCCCATTGGGGGGATCAAAAGGACTAAAGATATCCAAGGGACCAAAGATGCTCAATGGGGTCAAGCAAGAAAGATGACCATTGGGATCAAAGGCCATGTTGTGACCATTGGGGGTCAAGTAAACCTAAAGATGCCTATTAGGGTCAAGCAGGGAGGCCCATCAAAGGACAAAAGGACCCTAAAGATGCCTACTGGGGCTCAGCAGCTGAAGATGCCCATTAGGGTCAAGCAGGAAAGAGGTCTATTGGGGTCAGGAAGATGGTGGCCGCTTAGTTCACGATCTCCTTGTCTCTCTCTGTCTCTCTCTCCCCGGGCAGGGCATTGCCTCGGACTGCAAGCGGGTGACGGTGCTGAAGTACTTCCTGGAGGCCCTGTGTGGTCAAGAGGAGCCCCTCCTGGCCTTCAAGGGCGGGAAGTACGTCTCGGTGGCCCCCGGACCGGACCCGGACCCCACGGAAGGAGCCCCCCGAGGAGGAGACATTGCCGGGCGGAAAGGGACCTCCGCCAGTGGCCCTTTGGACGACCAGGTACCCGTTGGCCTCACGCTTCTATAGGATGCGTCCCCTCGTTGGATGCGTCCCCTTCCTGCCAGTCCCACCAAACGCTCCCCTTTCCCTCCCCTCTTTCCCTGGCGATGAGTTCCAGATGCGGATCCAAGGGTGAGTGCGTTTGCTAGGGAAAGGGTGGGGGGAGCGCTTAATAAGGCGCAGCAGGAAGGGAAGGAAGAAAGGAACGAAGGAGGAGGAGGAGGAGGAGGGAAGAAGAGGGCATCGAAGGTTCAAACCCAGCCCTGGCTTTTGGGGGGTTTTTTCCCTCTCGCTCTCCCTGAGTTCAAGGCAAGTCCAGATCTCCTCGTATATACTTCCCCGGACCCCGACTTCTGCTCAAATCCCCTTATATGAGGCGGCCTGGACCCCGACTTCTGCTTCTATGGGACTTTCTCTAGGGCAGGATGTCTCTGCTCTCTTTCGATTGGTTTAGGAGCCATCACATTATCACCAGCGTCAGTCTCGTGATTTATGTCCTGCCTCCCCCCCCCCCCCCCCCCCAAGGCGACTGAAACGTTAAATATATTATTTATATTTATATTATTATATATTATATTTATATTATTAAAATATATTATTGTTGTTGTTGCTGTTATTATATAATAATTATACACTGAATATGTGTAATACGACTATAATAGTAATACAATATAATAAAGTAAATATTATATAGATGTAAACATGTATTTTTATAGGTAAAGGTCAAGGTTTTCCCCTGACATTAACTCCAAGCGTTGTCCATAAACACCTCCAAGGTCATGTGGCCAGCATGACTGCATGGAGCACTATAATATAACATAACATAACATAACACAACACAACACAACATAATAGAATACAATACAACAATACAATACAATACAATACAATACAATACAATATAATATAATATATAATTAATATAATATAATATATAATTAATATAATATAATATAATATATAATTAATATAATATAATATATAATTAATATAATATAATATATAATTAATATAATATAATATATATAATAAATCGAAAGGTCGCAGGTTCGATTCCGGGGAGCGGCGTGAGCTTCCACTGTCAGCCCTAGCTTCTGCCAACCTAGCAGTTCGAAAACATGCAAATGTGAGTAGATCAATAGGTACCGCTCCGGCGGGAAGGTAACGGCGCTCCATGCAGTCATGCCGGCCGCATGACCTTGGAGGTGTCTACGGACAACGCTGGCTCTTCGGCTTAGAAATGGAGATGAGCACCACACCCCAGAGTCAGACATGACTAGACTTAATGTCAAGGGACTACCTTTACCTTTACCTCATAATAAATATATTATAATTATATATAAATGGAAGGAAAAAGGAATGGCATGGCATCTTTGAAGTGATTGGATTGACCTTGAAAGAGCTGGGGGTGGCGACGGTCGACAGGGAGCTCTGGCATGGGCTGGTCCATGAGGTCACGAAGAGTCGGAAATGACTGAACAAATGAACAACAATATATTATTATATTATATTATATATTATTACATTATATTTGTTACATTATTATAGTTTATTATTATTTTACATATTTTAATATGTAAAAATTAATATATTAAATATATTATTATAATTAAATATATGTGACTATAATAACTATATTATATATCATGTTTTATTTGATTTTATTACATATATTATATTCTTTTATTATTATATTACATTATTATTATAATACATTGAATCTATGTAATATATGACTATAATGATAATATATTGTCGAAGGCTTTCATGGCCAGAATGACTGGGTTGTTGTAGGTTTTTTGGGGCTATATGGCATTCTCTCCTGACGTTTCGCCTGTATCTATGGCAAGCATCCTCAGAGGTAGTGAGGTGAGGATGCTTGCCATAGATGCAGGCGAAACGTCAGGAGAGAATGCCTCTAGAACATGGCCTTATAGCCCGAAAAAACCTACAACAACCCCATAATAATAATAACTGTTGTCAAAGGCTTTCATGGCCAAAATCACTTGGTTGCTATGAGTTTTCCAGGCTGTATGACCATTATCCAGAAGCATTCTCACCTGATGTTTTGCCCACATCTATTGCAGGCATCCTCAAAACTCACAGCAACCCAATAATAATAATAATAATAATAATAATAATAATAATAATAATAATATATGTTATGTTACTAAATTATATTATATTAAATGTATTATTTAATTATTATATTATTGTAAAGGTATTATAGTATTTCTGTGCATTTAATATATGTATTTGACTATTTATATATATACACACACTCAACTATCCCCTGCCACGTGTTGCTGTGGCCCAGTCTGTGTATATGTGTTTTGTATGTGTATATATCTGTGTTATGTGTGTTTGCGCATATATATATATATATGGTTTTGCGCATGTATTGTATTTTTTATTTTTTGCTTTTTAAGTCCCTTCTACTGTGTTTTTCAGTGTTTTTATGAGTGATGGTCACTTGTTGGCCTGATAGGCATATTGTGTCCAAATTTGGTGTCAATTCGTCCAGTGGTTTTGAGTAAAACCCTTGTGCCGGCAGGACTGAAGACTGACAGGTCGCAGGTTCGAATCCGAGGAGAGGCGGATGAGCTCCCTCTGTCAGCTCCAGCTCCTCATGCGGGGACATGAGAGAAGCCTCCCACAAGGATGATAAAAAAAATCAAATCATCCGGGCGTTCCCTGGGCAACGTCCTTGCAGACGGCCAATTCTCTCACACCAGAAGCAACTTGCAGTTTCTCAAGTCGCTCCTGACACGACAAAAAAAAATTATTACAATAATATTTATAATATAAGGTTTTATATAAGGTAAAGGTTTTCCCCTGACATTGCGTCCAGTCGTGTCCAGCTCTGGGGGTTGCTGCTCATCTCCACTTTTAAGCCAACGAGCCGGCGTTGTCCGTAGACGCCTCCAAGCTCATATGGCCAGCATGACTGGATGGAGCGCCATTACCTTCCCGCCGAACTCCTGAACTTGTTGACCAAAAGGTCGCAGGCTCGAATCCGGGGAGTGGGGTGAGCTCCTGCTGTTAGCCCCAGCTTCTGCCAACCTAGAAGTTCGAAAACATGCAAACGTGAGCTCAATAGATACCGCTCCGGCGGGAAGATGACGGCATTCCATTCAGTCATTTATTTATTATTATTTATTTATTTAAAACATGTATATTCTGCCCTTCTCACCCAGAAGGGGACTCACACCATATACATGACAAACATCCAATGCCGGGACACAGATTCACATACGGTACATAAACTTTAAAAAAACATTTATCGAAATATTAAAATCCACCATTTAAAACCGTCCTAGT